GTCATCATTCCAGCTACACACAGCATGAGCAAACCAAACCACACAAAGCCCGTCACACACGGCAATCACCCGACAGATTTGATCTAAAACATCACTTAATGTTCATATTGGGCTTGTATGTGTTATTAATATGTGTTAAAATACAAAATTTGTAACATTTAGCTGGAGCACATTTTACCTACCGCCTTTCTGCATTCAGCAACCATTTTCTGCTGAAGGCGGGGCTTTGCAGGTGAAAGGTGAAAGAAACAATTACACACTGTTACCACAAGAGGTCTCTCAACAGCCACAAAATAAACAAAATAACCCATTTTGGTGAAAGACAAACATTATTTTATCCCTGTTACACATAGCTGTACCAAAGCAGAGCAGAGCTGGCACAAACCAAGAACAATGTTGAGTTAAAACATTGTTTAGATAAAAAACATTTAAACGTTAAGCACTGGATAATCAAGTAAATCATTAAAAACAAGACATGTGATTAGAGTTAGAATACTTTACTAGCTATGTTGAAAAGAATATTATTAAAATATATCACACATCTGCTCTTTCTGATATATATATATATATATATATATATATATATATATATATATATATATATATATATATATTGTAGCGTACAGTCCACAGATAAAATTTCTTATTGATTTTATCACGGTCTGGCTTTGGTCGACAGAAGGGTTTTACAACTCCTGGCTCCAAGAAGTCTGGATTTTCGTGACAGCTTAAGTAGTCTAGGGAGCCTGGAGAGATAGGTCTGTCACTTCAAAGACATTCCTGCCCAAATACACACACACACACACACAACCACGAGGCTGTTCCGACAGAAAGAAAATGAACTCATCAAATCCTGAACCAGCACAAAACTAAGGTGTTATGTTTTGTAAACTTTGTATCTCATTTCTGACTTTTCTTACCTGTGTAACCTCTCTTATAACCTGTATGCATGTTCCCTTTAGGCCTTTGTAAAGCATAAATATTGGAAGGATATGAAAAATTATGTTAATGTACTTTTAAACCCCCCATGTTTGGTACAAATGGGTTTCTACTGACATTTTACAACACACGATGCATAGAGCAAGACCATAACTCGCATTGCTTTATTCTTTAAAGCCCTGTATTAAATGCCTGTTCGCATGCTTTAGGCGGACACTCAAATTTGCATACGAGCAGCCTCGAGACAAAGGAAGGGTTCCCGCTCAAACTTTGTACTGAAACCATTGGTCAGAATGCTGAATGGGTTGTCACGTGACCCGCAGGTATAAGCAGACCTTCTGCCCAAACATCCGCAGAAAGAGAAGGTCCTAACAAAGAACCCATCAAACGTGGTCCCTTTAAGGGCCACGTGGCTTTCTAAGCCGCATGGACTTTTTTCCGTTACGCTTTCTTTATTTTTCCGGCAAAGTAAACTCAGTTTAAAGTTTGCAATCGTGTTCGTCCGAACTGCATTACAAACTCAACGCATCAAGAAGGACATCAAAGGAGTTTCATCAGGACGGAAGCATAAAGAGAGAGATCCCAGGCATTAAGTCCAGGTACCTTTAGTTATGCGATTAAGCTGTGCCCCTTTTATCAAAAAGGTGTTTTTTATAATATTGGTGGTCCTGAATGGTGTGGTGGAACTGAAAGTTTTGTCATTCTTTTACCTGAAATCTCTATTTCCTCGCTTTACTATTCCTCTTTGTTGTTACACGTTCTATAGACCCGATATCTCCACGTGGTTTACCTTTGTTCTGTGTTTAATGTACGTTTGTGTGTTTGTTTGTTCGTTACGTCTGACTAGTCAATAAATCCCATTATAGTCAAATGAATCGTATTGTTTGCCTCACGAGAAAATGTCACTGAAATACAGATTCCCCTGCCTAGCTGTTATAAGTTGTTTAAAACTTTTGAATGATTAATCTACTTCACAAGAAGTAGCAATTAAATTCCCTTTTTCTAAATGAATAGATTACCGTGTCCGCTCGGAAGAGCGACGGCTCTGCTTGTGTCTGTTTGGTCAAATTAACAATAAATTTATCCGGAATATTAATGATTAATAATAATTCGTTATTGTTGATAATTAATTTCCATAATCTGGGAGTCCGCTCGGTCGCGCGAGCATGATCATATACAATCATATGTTTGTTTGACCAAACTGACTGAAGCTTAAGCCGGAATATTAATAATTAAGAATAAACCGTTATTGTTGATTATTAATATTCATAAAATGAGCTAATTTCATGTTACTATATATATACATATATATATATATATATATATATATATATATATATATATATATATATATATATATATATATATATATATATAATTTTTTTTTCTTTAGCAGTAATTAACCAGGACAGTGGTCAGAAATGGCTTAAGTGTTCTATAATAATAATAATAATAATAATAGAACATCAGTATTGGTGTTTAATACTCATATCATTTTTATTATTATTTTTATTATTAACAAGCCCCTTGTGTATCCCTAGGAAGTCAAGCTAGGTCCTGTCAATGACATGGTGATTTTGGCTGCGAGGCCCAAAGAGAGGAAACTTGCTGAAGGATTAAGGTGGGACACTTGTAAATTCTATTTTACATGTATGTTTGTCAAAAATTTGATTTAAAATAGCCTCTATGAGTTGTGTCTTTTTAAAGCAACATTATTCCTTAATATTATAGATATATGACTGCATCACAATGGGTTAATTATCTATTCTTGTAACATACACCACAACAGCTTTATAAAATACTTAAAACTCAAACTCAAGAAGATGAATATGGTTTTACATAAAATGTGAATAGAACAACAAATTTAACTAAACAATTAAAATTTTGATGCAGTCTTTTGTTCCATTTAAGGAGTAAACTTTATAAAGGTGTCACCAGTGAGCTGCCGATCTTTCAGTCCTTTGAGTGGCAGAGGTTTGAAGTAAACACTAAGACTTTGACAGTTCTACAGCCCCTTTTGTCACGGTTGTGGATCCATCTGCTCCTTATTTGAAGTGTCTGCGTTGTGTGACAGTTCAGTATCATGATGCGTGTTTCTAAGTATGTGTGCTTTTTCTCTCTGTGTTTGTGTGGATGTCGCGTGGCTGTCAGTGGGTGTTTGTTTTCATGTCATCAGCTGAGCGGTCACATGATCTTTTGTTACCGGAACTGTTGCGTAGCGCGCTCGGCTGATAATCAGCGCGCTACAGGTGTAGCGCATTTTATGTGCCTATAAATGATCAGAGTTCCTGTCTCACTTTGTCAGTTCGTTGTTTGTTCACAGTGTTTTGTGTTTTTGTCGGGCTCCTCCCGTTGAGATCGCTGGTGGTGAGTGGTTTGGTTGATTTCCTTGTTGCTGTCTCTGATGATCCCTCTTCCTGCTACGCTGAGTGTTTGATCTGCTCTGTTGATGAGTTCATCGGAGACATTGCTGTTTCTTCTACGACGAATGTTTGATCTGCTCTGTTGATGAGTTTATTGTTGTATATTCGTGGCATTGTTATTTCACTACAGCACCCAGAATGCATTGTGACGTGAACCGGAAATGCCGGTTGTTGTAGTTGTCATCGGATATAGCGAAGTAAAAACGAAGAGCAGTAAAACAGTCTGTGTGTCATCTTATTCCTTATGCAACGTTTATTATCCACACGGATATAATAAAGTGGCGACGAGGATTGAAGCACTCGCGCGTGTGTTATGACAACGCGGAAGTGAAGCAGCGTGAGTGACACGAGAGCGAGAGAGAGAAAAAAAAAAAGTAAGAGCCGGCTGCTTTCACATCTTCTAAAGGGAGAGGACCGACAGCGATTGAGATAAGTGACTGAATTGATTGTTGATGACCGAAAACGGGACAAAATGGCAACAGTTTTTGGCAATATGTGTCCGTTTGATGAAAGCAGTGAACAGTGGAGTTCTTATACAGAACGATTTGAGTACTTTGTGGCAGCAAATTCAATTGCTGATGATAAATTGGTACCCACCTTTTTTAAGTGTGATAGGTCCAAAGACATTCACACTACTGCGTAACCTCCTACAACCAGAGAAACCGGGGGAGAAAACGTATGAGCAAATAGTAAACACTCTCAAAGCTCATTTCTCCCCGAAGCCATTAGTAATAGCAGAGAGATTTCGGTTTCACCGACGAAATCAGCTAGAAGGAGAAACTGTTACAATGTTTGTGGCAGTGTTAAAAAAATTAGCTGAACATTGCGAATTTGGTGATACATTAAATGACTCACTACGGGACAGATTAGTGTGTGGACTTCGCTGTGAGGGAATTCAAAAAAGGCTATTAACAGAGAGCAACTTGACACTACAAAGAGCGATTGAACTGAGTGTGGCTATGGAATTGGCTGCTAAAGAAGCTCAGCAACTGAGCTCAAACAGTAAAGTGTATAAGATGGTCACGGAAAAACAAACAGAAATGAAGGGCCCTTGTTTTCGTTGTGGAAAAACTGGACATACACCTGTCATGTGTTGGTTTAAGGACATGGAGTGCCGCAGCTGTAAAAAGAAAGGACACATAGAGCGTGCATGTAGAAATAAAACAGAAAAAGGGAAAATGCAGCACAAAACAACATTTAGAAGAAAACAAAAGAAACAAGTATTCACAGTTGACCAAGAGAACAAGAAGAATACAGACACATCAGATGATGAATTTTCTTTGCATGTGCTCACCGTGGCAGGGGGAAACAAGTCATACAAGGTCACAGCGCTGGTGGAAGGACAACCAGTGAAGATGGAGATTGACACCGGTGCTGCGGTGTCGCTTGTGTCAGATGTGGTATACCGTGAAATTCTGAGCCACCTGCCACTAAAACCACCCGATGTGACCCTTAAAACTTACACTGGCGAATCAGTGACCATGAAAGGGCTTCTCCAGGTTACCGTTGAACTAAACAAACAAATAAAAAAGCTGCCATTGTATGTGGTTTCAGGTGATTACCCCGCACTGATGGGACGTTCCTGGCTGGAACAACTGCAGGTGAACTGGCAGGTCTTTCACATGATGACAACTAATACATTGGATTTAGAGGATGTTCTTCAGAAAAACAGTGACGTTTTCAAAAAGGAGTTAGGCAGCATGCAGGGGATCAAAGTGAAATTGACCGTTGAGCCGGAATGCCAGCCAAAATTCTTAAAGGCCCAACCTTTGCCATATGCACTCAAACCCAAAGTGGAGGCAAGCTTAACTGAACTTGTAAAAGATGGTGTCCTGGAACCTGTCAGTGTAAGCAAGTGGGCAACACCTATTGTTCCCGTTTTAAAGAAAGACGGTAGCATAAGAATTTGCGGAGATTTTAAAGTCACTGTGAACCCAGTGTTGTCGGTGGAACAATACCCCTTACCGCTCATAAATGACATCTTTGCAGGACTGACTGGAGGACAAAAATTCAGTAAAATTGATCTCAACCAGGCATACCTGCAAATGCATGTTGAGGAGCAGTCCAGAGAACTATTGACCATAAATACACACAAGGGCCTATTTCGGTATCAGCGCTTACCATTTGGAATCACTTCGGCTCCGTCCCTGTTTCAGCGAGCGATGGACCAGATTCTGGCAGGACTCCCGGGAGTAGTATGTTACTTAGACGACATTCTTGTGACTGGTACTGACGATGAATCACACCTGCAGCATCTGGACGCTACCCTAAAAAGACTGAAAGAGTATGGATTGAGAGTGCGGAAGGACAAATGTGAATTTTTCCAGTCTGCAGTTGAGTACCTAGGCCATGTCATTGATGCCTCTGGCCTGCATACGTCCCCAGCAAAGGTTAAGGCCATAGTGGATGCTCCGACACCTAAAAATGTCACCCAACTGCGTTCATTCCTCAGCTTGCTTAATTATTATGGACGTTTTATTTCAAACATTGCTACTCTGTTGAAACCCCTGCACAAATTGTTGTGTCAGGAGAATAGCTGGAGGTGGACCACTGAATGTCAGGAGACTTTCCAAAGAGCAAAGGAGACCATGCTGAAGTCAGAAGTCCTCACTCATTTTGATCCTTCTCTGCCAATTCAGCTGGCCTGCGACGCCTCCCCATATGGTGTGGGAGCTGTCTTGTCCCACATCATGCCGAACGGTCAAGAGAAACCGATCGCATTTGCTTCTAGAAGTCTGAGCAAAGCCGAAGCAAATTATGCTCAAATTGAACGTGAAGCATTGAGCATTGTGTTTGGAGTGCGCAAGTTTTACCAGTATATTTTCGGAAGGAAGTTTACTCTGCTGACCGATCATCGCCCACTGACTGCGATTTTTGGTCCTTATCATGGCATCCCCTCTCTTGCTGCTAGTAGGATGCAAAGATGGGCTTTGTTATTGTCTGCTCATACCTATGACATCAAGTACCGGAAGTCAGAATTGCACAGAAACGCAGATGGACTGTCCAGATTGCCTCTCGCTGACCAAGTAAAAGAAACAAAAGTAGCTGAAATTTTCTACTTTAGTCAAGTGGAAAGGACCCCAATAACAGCTGCACAAGTGCGCAAGGGCACACGTAATGATCCTGTCTTGTCCAAGGTCATGGATATCGTCATGACAGGAAAAGATGAGAACCATGACCTAGAGCTAAAACCATATCTTACTCGACGTCATGAACTCTCAGTGCAGACAGGCTGTTTATTGTGGGGAAGGAGAGTGATCATTCCACCAACATTGCGCAAATCAGTGTTAAAACAGCTGCATGCGGGACACTGTGGAATGGTCCGCATGAAGGAGATTGCCAGGAGTTACTTCTGGTGGCCAGGAGTGGATCGAGAAATTGAAGAGAAGGCAAGAACATGTACGTCATGTCAAAGCATACGCAACGTACCACAACTGGCACCGCTGCACCCCTGGGAATATCCAGAGAAACCGTGGCATCGCATTCATGCTGATTTTGCAGGTCCGGTCGAGGACAAAATGCTGCTGGTCGTCATTGATGCACACAGTAAGTGGCCTGAAGTAGCCATAATGAAATCTACGTCAGCAGAAAAGACCATTGAGAAGTTGGGAGAAATTTTCAGTAGATTTGGACAACCAGTGCAGTTTGTTTCAGACAATGGACCTCAATTTATTTCGCATGAAATGGGCACATTTCTACTTGCAAATGGAGTGCAACATATCAAGTCATCACCCTACCATCCTGCAACAAATGGGCTTGTGGAGAGGTTCGTGCAGACCATGAAACATGCTTTAAAAGCTTCAATTGGACAAGGCACATTGCATCAACGCCTTCATAACTTCTTGCTGTGCTATCGCAGTACTCCACACGCAACTACCAAAGTGTCACCAGCCTACTTGTTGTTTAATCGAGAGCTCAGGACAAGCTTTGAGCTACTTTAACCAGCAACACTCAAAGAAACGGTCCTACAACAACAAGAAAATCAGGTACAGCGACGGAAACTGCGAGCCAAAGACAGATCCTTTTTGATAGGCTCATCGGTGCTGTCCCGGAACTATGGCACCGGTCCAAAATGGGTTCCAGCTACTGTGGAAACCCAGACGGGTCCTGTGTCCTACAGGGTTAAAAATGCTGGTAATCTTCTATGGAGGAGACATACTGATCAGTTACTGAGTGGAGCCAGTACATTCACTGACCTTCCTGAAGGTACCGACGTCTGTGATTCAGTTGGCAGCTCACCAGCTTCTGCGACTGTCACTACAGAGCCTAGCAAGATTACAGATTCCCCACCTACTAAAGAACTGTCACCTCCTGTTGTTTCGACTGAAAATGGGGACCAAGTAAGCCGCCGGTATCCAATAAGAGAGCGACGTCAACCTCAGCGTTTTTTGGATTATACTTAGTTAGGGGCTACCCTTACAGTATTTGAGTTGGGGCAGAATAATCCCCTAAGGGTAAGCCAGGGTTTGAGGTAATCCACCCTCATTCCCAGGGATTTAGTTGTGTTAAATTACCAAGGACATTTAAGACATTTAATCAAGAAACGTTCAAATAAATAAATGTGTGTTTACAGAATGTTATAATGGTAAACTGAATGTTATACATTCATTCTGCATGGTGCTAGTTCAAAATTAAAATGTTGACCTTCAAATTTAAGGGGAAGGAAATGTTGTATATTCGTGGCATTGTTATTTCACTACAGCACCCAGAATGCATTGTGACGTGAACCGGAAATGCCGGTTGTTGTAGTTGTCATCGGATATAGCGAAGTAAAAAACGAAGAGCAGTAAAACAGTCTGTGTGTCATCTTATTCCTTATGCAACATTTATTATCCACACGGATATAATATTTATGAACATTTATCCGGCGCTGCCGAGACGGACCATCTCTTTAATTACTACTACAGTTTCCTCACTTCCAACCACTCACCATTTTCCCTGTTTTGCTTAAGTTAAGCAATAAAGACTTTTTACTTGCATTTGGGTTCCACGTCTTGTTTTTTAGTTGTCACACCTTTGGTCACAACAATTGGGATGTCAAGTGAGGTTTTTCGGGTTCAATTCAAGTTGTAAGTGTCCTGTCATACCAACAGCCAGGTGCAACAAACTGCAACATTGTTCCTCATCCTGATGCCCCACCCCCACCACTTTTGCCACTAGATGGTTACAGCCTCAACACATCTGCTTGTTTGTTTACAATAAACAGGAACAACTGCTCATGAGATCATTGACCGTAACTTTAGAAATGGCTTACTATGTTGAGAAAGCCATTAAAGACCAGAGTGCATGTCTTGAATGGCATTCTGTCAGGAAAACCCGGATAACGTCGTCACGCTTTGGGTCATGTCTGTCATGTGCGAGGCCAGACCTCAGCTGAACACCTGGCCGAAAGAATCCACAAAGGAACTCGCCAGACAGCTGACATAAAGCGAGGACTTCAAATGGAGTCTGAAGCAGTTAGGGAGTACTGCTTGCTGCGAGAGGTAAATTACCACCCATGTGGATTTATAATTCACCCTGATGCTCCATGGCTGGGGGCCTCTCCTGATGGGATAATTTTTGACCCCAATGAGCACCATGTTTTATAGCCTTAAAATGTCCCAGCGTCAAAAGTTTTGTTGACTGTTCTTACCTCAAATTTCACAATGGCAAACTAGAACAGAAACAGCAACATGCCTACTATGGGCAAGTCCAATGTCAAATACTCATCTCAGGATTGGACTGGTGTGACTTCGTCATTTATACACAAGATGACATGATGATTAAACGCATTTACAAAGACATCAGAATGTTTCAGATCATTCGGGAAAAAGCTGACCATTTCTTTTTTTACTTTTACCTTCAAGGATGCCTACAGATGTAAAAAACACACACACACACATGTGCACACACACACACACACACACACACACACACACACACACACACACACACACACACACACACACACACACACTTTTAGTTTGAATATTGTTTAATATTATATTTACACATTACTCTACAGAATGTTTACCAATTTATCAAAGTTATTTAAATTTACATATGTGCAATTGTTTAAAGTTATTTATATTTAGGTATTTACATTACTAGAGAGCAAATGTTTGGTTGTTTGTATTTACATATGTACATTACTAGAGTGCAATTGTTTAAAGTTATTTATTTACATGACTGCTGTGCAAATATTCAATTATTAATATTTACACACACACACACACACACACACACACACACACACAAACACACACACAATTTCAATTTCAAGATTGTTTAATATTATACTGTATCTACACATCACTGTACAGAAAATGTTTAACAATGTTTAATGCTTAAGTTAATTACTTAAGCGCAATTGTGTTTACATATTTACATTACTGCAATGCAAAAATAAATCCGATACATCAATCCTCATTAAATAATATCACTTATTTGATCTTTTGCCCAAGCTTTTACTAGTGGGTCGCTTTGGTAGTTAACCAGAAGGCAAGCGACTGTGTAGAACTGGTTGATACTCCCTGTAATAGATAGAGGTATGACTGTCAAACAGCTTGTGTTGCTTCACCCTGCGGATGAGACGCTCGATTTGGATCCTCAGCCATGCTATTGACTGTGTCTCCTTTACCTCATCAACCGACATCCATTTCCTCTTCGACATGTAAGACAAGTATGTCCTGTAGACTTTGCAAGGTACACAGTCATCAACAAGAAACCCTTTGTTGACCATTATTGCCATTCCAGGCTTCAACAGAGACACAATTCCAGACTGCTTAAAAATCTCCTTGTCGCTGACGGAGCCTGCATACAGGGATGACACAAAGGTTATTGCTCCATGTGGTGCCATTCCAATCAGTCCCTTGAAGGTGCAGTGGGACTTGTAAGCGGAGAAGACTTCACTTTGAAGCAGGAGTGAGGATGGAGTTTGGCAACACAGTTCTGTGCAGTCGATCGCCACCTGTATGTCTGGGTAGTCCTGGAACTCATTAGGAACGTAAGCCTTGACTGCCTCTTCAGACATCCAGATGCGGAGAGACCCAAGAATAGTGCACAAAAAATTGGCCCATGTTGTAATAATTCGGCTTACTGTTGACTAATGGATGTTGAATTTGTGACCAAGATCCCGCTGAGATAGGCCAACTGAGAGGTGGACCATGAAGAGGAAAAACTCACCAATAGGCTGCAGCGACCGACCCTGTAAAACATGGTTTGCAGTTATATACATATAGCCTGTAGACTAGGCTTCCACTGCAAATATAAAATTACTTTTTTTTTCTACTATTACTTTATTTACCCATCCACCTCCTATATACAGTATAACACATTTTACAACAATATGATTCTAAAACAATTATAAATAAATTATAAAACAATATTATTACAACTGTTTACTTTTTTTTGTTGGATGAATAGTATTTTGTACATAAAGGTTTTAAATCGTAACTTACCTTGTGTAGATCCTTATATAGTAGTCTGATGCTGCAAAACGCCCCAAACTAAATCTTTGGCAGACTGTCAACTCCTCCACCTGTCTCCTTAGTTGTTCCACCTCTTTACAGAGATCTTCAGCCAGAACCAGTGCTTTATTGACAGCTGCAGGTTCTGGAACAGAACAAAAATCATGTTCCAGAACATGCTGGGCATACATTTTCACAAGATCCTCGATCACTTTACTTTAAACATCCTTTCTTTGCCATGCCCCGACGGGCCTTGAACCAGCCACGGAGTAGCTGTTCCACTGGAATGAGATGGGTACCGCCCCCTTCATCAACCTCTGACGGCCTGTAGGTTCGCTACATTTTAAATCATATGCGTTACTGAGTAAAAAATAAATATATAAGGAAATGCAACGGAAAAAGAAAAAGGAAATCGCGCTCGGAAATCACGTCACTGCAGTTGTCTATTGTCTGCAGTTGTCTATTCATTGTTGCTGGAGATGGATGTATCGCCGGTGTTACACCAAATTCTGTGACTGCCGTATTCTGTGACTTTAGTAGGCGCTGTTCTCTCTGTTTGGCTTGAACACAGGTGGATTGGACACCTTTCAGTACAGTTCAGTTTTTAGTGTTTAAGTTCAGTTCAGTTCAGTTTAGCTCAGTTCAGTGTGGTTTGAAGTCATTATTGAGAGTCCAAACACTGAAGAGCAAATTCATCGATGCGTAGCTCTACAAATCCTGAACCATGCAAGCCAGTGGCGAGAGGGAAAAAAAACTTCACCTGATAAGAGAGTGAAGAAAAAAAAGAACCAGACCAGACTCAGTTGGGCACGACCATTTTAATTTCTCCGCTGGCCAAAATTCTTGCGCAGAGCTGCAGTCTCAGCGGTGGAGGCTGGAAGCTGGGCCACTCCCGATTTCATTGTTATATTTACTATTATTATTTTTCTTGCCTTTGATATATAGACGTTAAATTTACATCTATTAAACAGCCCTTCCAAGGAGGCATTTTACTATAATATGACCAGTACAGCGAGCTTTTATATTTATTTTAGATTATTAAAACACACACACACACACACACACACACACACACACAATCTATCTATCTATCTATCTATCTATCTATCTATCTATCTATCTATCTATCTATCTCTAATTAGTCTAGTTTGTTTTAGCCTTTTACCCTGTAAGCAGTTATGTAGATTACTGTTGCTTCTTTTTAAATGTTTCCCTAAAAAAAGTTTATACTATTTCTTAATTGGCTTTTAAATTAAAAAGAAAAAGTATTAAAGTGACTGTGGAATATGTGTGTTAAATAGGCTACTGGTTTATAGAATGTAGGCACACAATTTGAGGTCAAGGTAAAATTTATCCCCGGTTTTAGGTTTAATTAGGTTTAATTTAGGTTTAATTTATAAATCTCCCATAGGAGAAATTTGTTTTAGAAAAAAGGTTCTGATGTACATAGACACCAACAAGACAACATGTAACATACATACACATTAAAATCT